GTGTGGGTGCAGAAAAGCAGGATTAAGATACTCGCAAATATGCGGAAATGGTCAGGGAGTACAATGCATACATGGAGTAAATTTGCGAAAATCTTGACGATCCCGAAGACAGATCCAGTGCACGATTAACAACACAGATGTACAATTGTGAAAAAAATATTTCATTATTAAAAAATGCCCCAACGTATTTTTTAATAGGATTTTACTGCCACTTCCTGTTAAAAACGTGAAAATCCAGTGCACCCTAGGTTTTTTGAGCATGACCACTCCGGCACACCTTTTGTGGTTAGGGACTCCTTGCTTCTTTGAAATATACATATTTTCAAACGTCTATACCAAGTTTCAACCGCTTCGCAATTTTTTGCCTATTTTGGACAATTTGCCTGTACCATTGTTTTGATAGTACTGTGTGCAGTGGCCCCGCTATTATTGGTTTTGATTCCAAGAATGGGCTGTAGAAATTGACCAATTCCAAGAAGGCTTGGACTTTTTCCTCGGCCAGCTCTAGTCCTTTGGAACTAATTGTATGACTTTGAAAGTAGAATACACATTTTCCTTCTTTAAGTTTAAGGTAATCTTCCCTTCCCTTCTTTAACACCTTGTTCACCGTTATATGATAATTGGCACATATCCGGATTTCGTTGCGACGTGTTAAACCACCGCAACTATGGGCGTGGTCCACATGAGTTGAGTCACACGTTCAATGACTCCTTGCTACTGAAGGCGATCCAGTTCATCCTCAATCATAGGCCTTCCGTACCTTACATACAATCGGACTAATATCTCGTGGCAAATTGAGGCTAATTGGAGGGCCTCGGAACACGCCCAATGTTCCATCAAACTCTTTCACAGGTTCCCGTTCTAATTCAAATGGATTCACGCTATAAAGTACCGAGTCGTGCACTTTGTTAATTCCAGATACGTTAATGTTCAACGGCTCAAACCAGTTTCGTCCTAAAATGTTCACCACTAGCGTTCTCTTAATTATGATCACAGGAAGAGCTCTGGTAGTTCCCCAATACTATCGAATTCCATTCTAATTTGGGCTTCCTCTTCGCAATTTATTGAAGCAGCCGGCACTAATTACGATATAGGCCGCGCCACTGTCTACTTCCATGCAGTATGCAGTACTATTAAGTAAGCTTGTCAGGATCCCACGTCGATACTTTGTGAATCGAATACTCGCTATTCACTGTCGCTCTCCTTATCTTGTTGACCGGAGTCGTTATCAGGCCCCACTCCTCTTACCTGTTCCGACCGCCTGTTAACTCGGTTTCGCTTCTTCTTCAGACATGCTCTCTCGATATGCCCCACTTTCGCGCAAAAACGACATGCCACTGTTTTAAACCTGCATGTTTCGGCCGATTGCCATTTGTCACACCGAAAACATAACCTTGTCGCTGTCTTCCGATTGTCTTATTTTCTTTAAAAACTCATCGGGAGTTCCCGCAGGGCTGGCACATTTCTTGCAGTAAGTAATACACGAATTTGTTGAACTAGATGAGGAATTTGAACACGGATCAGACGGGAACCAAAGCTTTATGGATAGGAATGGTAACGATGTGCGAAATGACTGCACGACGACAGTAGACCTAAAAATCCTGGAATATATGAATGACGCTGACAATATGATTAATACCTCCCTAAATAAATACCCTCTCCTCAAACTTTATTTTATGCGTTAATACGTGACATCCTCGGTTCCTGTAGATTCGCCGAAATTGTCAATGCTTCAAGACGCCACACACTTTTTGATGGTAATAGTTATTAAAGAAGTAAGTAATGTTTTTAGCTATTATTTTTATTTATAAACAATTGATTCATTACTTTTTATTGGTACTTTAACATACGCTGTATTTTTGTGTAAGATAGTTTTTAAGAATAAAATATTTGCGTTAACTTTTCTTTATTTGCCACTTACGCATTCACCATTCTTTCTCACACGTTTTTTACAGCGGAGAATATAGTGATAATTGAATTAGCCGTTCAAAAAAGTGCATTATCAAAAGAAAATCAGATAATTCTTTTTGTGGTAACTATAGTAATTAATAATTTTGATTAAGACAGGAAATAAACTTTTTTATAATCTAATTACGTAGACATAACACAATTTGTTCTGTTGTCAGACACCGATTTACAGTATATGTGCGTACATTATTTAGATTGAAAAGTTTCGGCAAACTACACCCAGTAAGCGGTTCTTTGATTTAATTCGTCTTTAATTTAATTCTAGCTATGGCTACTGTTAGTTGTAAGAGTACTAAAGTAACAAAATAGTTTTAATAGAAAATCCTGGTGCGACATACAACATGGAATACAACGAAGTTACTGAATACATTTTTAATGTTAACACAATAACGGATCTAATTCGTAATTGATTGTTTGCTCTTATACACTATGACTGACGAGAAAAAGCAGCAACAAAAATTGATTATGATACTACTAGAGAAGAACCGTAGATATCATCAATCATAGCTGGCAATGATGAAGTGTCCGGTTTCCTTCGTGACAGGTATATAAACCAATATATGAGTTACATTCCTGTACCTTCTTGTAAATAGTAGCAACTGAGATTCTGTTTCACGAGAACATCCATCCCGGCGACTTACACCCCGGCACCGTTTTCCCGGCGACCATTATCCAGACATCGGTCATCCCGTCGACGACCTATCCCGATCATGCACACTTTCCTAACGTCGCGTTGTCTGTCCAACCCCATGGTTCTTTTGTTGGACATAAACAATGATATAGCGATGATGTAGCGGTTGTCAAATTAGGTGCCGAAAGTGGTGACGACGCATTGTAATTATATAAATACAGGAGACCGAGATATGCAAGGAAGCTCAAATAAGCCGTCTTGTTTACACAATTGCCATCGGTGCAAACGATTCATTTTTAGAAAATTGTGTTTTACCATTTACCTACGCAGGTAGATACCAGAAAACTTTATCTATCTATAAATGGCGTAATTTCAGTTTGATACTATAGTGATAGTCCCTATTCAGAAAATCACACTCTATAAAATAACAAATATGAAAACATAATTCCAGTAAATTGGTTCAATATAATAAACATGAATTTACTTCATATGTTTACCGCGTCTTAAATGTTTTCTATCTCCCCGATCGCAGAGTTCAAACTGCCTGGACGACCGAAGCCGGGATGGTCATGTTGATTCTTGACTCTTGAAGAGCTCTCGAACTTCGAAAGGGTATTCTGTTGTACAGTATTATTGAATCGAAATGTTCCAAAAAGGTACTTTGTAGGTATAGGCGATATTCCCAAAAAACAAAAATATCTCTCACAAATTCAAAAAAATTAGGAATTCAGTCGGTTCCATAGCACACTAACACTTAAACTGAGAAATTGTCTTCGTTCAAATCTCATAGTGCGGGTTAATATCCAACAAAGGAAAAAATTTCAGTGGTAGTGGCGAAACTTTTGCTTCAAGATTCGTTATACTGTGATGTTGAACCCCTACCGATAGGCAACACATCTTACAACTAAAGGAATTTTAGAATCCCGTTTTGCGCAGACGTGAATTTAGTACAGAAAGCTGGAGAGTGGCGTCGGCGGGAGCACTGGTGGTCCAGATTTTGATGGTGGAGTAGCGGTTTTGTGTGCTTTTCAAAGTTTAGTTAGTGTTTGATATATTTTTTCCAAGCGATATCAAGGTAGTACTCGTTTTATTTAAGCTATTTTAAATTCTATGTTTAAATTTCATGCCTTATTTGTTTTCGTTTTGACTTTTTCTTTAGATTTGACCTCTGCTGATTGCAGGCATGGCGTGGGCGGCTATTGTTTGAGTTTAGCGTTAAATGAGTCATGTTTTAGCTTGGCTCCTTGTGCGCCTGATTATGCCGCAATGTTTCCCATGATTATTTGATTTGAATGTGTGGTGTGGTCTGCTTCCGCTTGAATACCCGTGTTGGCATTCTCAGGTGCACTTGCACTTGTTACGTAATAAATGAATGATAAGCAAGGTCGGGACAAGGTCATGCCTGCTCTACGTGGTTTAAAATGAACTCTTGATGTTTTTTTTTCAGGTAGTGTTTTTATACCCCAATGATTTATTTTGTTCACAATTTGTAATTATGTCAAGTGTATCTATCGTTTTTGATTAATTTGTTCAAGCCACATTTGCCTTTATTACTTGATTTTTGTTGTACGATTTGAGATGTTTGATTTTCGTATTTCTGTTTGTACATTGCTACCTGTAATTGATTTATTTCTTGTATTTGTGTTTAGCCAGGTTTTTTTTATTGCTGGTTCTTTTTTCCTGGCTTTTCGGTTTGGATTTGCTCTGCTGAACCAAGCCCCGTGCGTAATAAATTTCATTTTCTCTTTCCCTTTCGGCCGCACAAAAATTCTGTCTTTTATTTAATTCCCTTCCCGATTGTGTCTCACGTACAAACGCATAAAAGACCGCCATAGGAAAATGACAACGTAGGAGTCAATTCGTACAAATTCGTCCAAGTCGAATATTACCGAGATCTGAATGGCGCGAACTTCCGACATTTTGACAGCTAAAGTTAGATGGCGCTGTCTGCGATTTGTTTCCCCAGAGTGGCCAACTGTAAGTACAGGGTAAGTCAATATTTCCAGCACCTCCTGAGGACCCCTAGGAACATTACAATACATAGAAGAACTTTTAAGTAAGTATTAACAGTAAGTTTTTAGAAGATAGAATTGTACATTTTCGATCTCTGTAAGTAGCTACTAAGTGCAGCTAAATAATTTCTTACAGGGCACACCCTGATATTGAGATTTAGTTTAGTTAGAAATTTGATTAGAATAGAGTATATAAAATACGATCCTACAAAATAGCTAACGTTATAGTTCTAATTAAAACTTAGATGAAACAATTTTAACAAGTTGTATCCATTAAAAGTTGCACGAAATAATTTACGAGAGACCTTTTACAAAGAGGGAACTAGGCTTTCAAGTTCTAAATTATAGTAAGTGTACGTTGTTAAGATTTTATACATTAGCATCATAATTTCCAGTGAAAAGATATTTTATATTTCTCCCTCTCCTGAACCATTTATTAAACGTTACTCCCTATAGCAGTTCAATAAAAGTACAAAGTTCTGAGTGTCATATTTTCTTCGTAGGCGAGAGAGGCATTGGCGATGGTAAATGTAAAGCAGGAATTAATTGTAACGATTGTAAGCACAGCATCATTTGGGTGGATAGAAGGCTTACATCAATCAAAAGCTACGTAATTAAGGAAGGTGAGAACCAACAGTCGTTATTTGGGCGTTAATTTCGTTAGGAAAACTTTCAAACATATTTACGACGCAGTCTTCCAAAATCCAAATCGATTTACAAAGCAAAAATGATTGATTCTACGCCAGTTTTCTAAACGTTCATTTTTTCTTATGTCACCTTTTTGCAGATGTATAAGTCCTGAATTTTTTGACCTACGAGTTATTCGAATTAGACATATTCATTATCGAAATAAACGCGTAATTACACGTTTCGACAAAGATTGTCGTACCTTCTCTATTTTTATTAATCGCGCTCGGTATCCACTATAGCGTTTGCGCCAAAAATAATTCAAATTCAAAGAAGTCTTCTACACATTATTATTAAGTGCATGATTTAACTTAGAGGTCGTTACGCGAATTTCAATCGTTCGAATTTGAAATCTATAGATAACCTTGGATATCTTCCGATTGCGGGGCCATTATAAAGTTTCGCCTATTATTTTTAGGTATAAACTTAGTGTAAGGCCGTTAGCGTTGCTCAACAAAGATTTTTTTAAATTATTTCTTTCCTTGCCGACGACTTTGAACCAGTCCTGTACCACCAAGGGTCTGTCACGTTACATCTTGGCAGCCAACGTAGGGTTACGCTACACCAAATTATCATATAAAAGAGACGAGTAACAAACAAAAGGAAAATGATGCTCTTGTTCCAGTAAGTACGGTAACGTGGTTGGTTCATTCTTCTTCACTAATCTCTCTTATCAACATCGAAGGTGGTGAGCGTCGAGATCTCTTTTAAATACCTACCACCATCATAACAATTCAACAAATTGTGGAGTGGAGCGTGTGCGACAATCGTAACTGTCCTTTGCCTGAAAAGTCAGGCCATATTTTTCCTTGATAACAGCGTGACTGATAAATTCCTCTCTAGCAGTATGCCCACAAACTGTAGTTGAAGCTTATGGTTAGTTAATTTCGGTTGCATGCTTGTGAAATCTTAAATTAGTCAACAGTAACTCCTACATTACGGAGTGCATGTGGTAATATTATCAATATTAATTGTAATGTTCTCCAGCTACCAAAACGCAAAATTTATTAACAAGTTTATTATCCGGGGGGTAACACCGATTTCAACCAAATTTCACAGGGGTCAAGGGGGGGAGGGGATCCCACGATACTAAAAAACCATACCAAACCCACCGCAATTGTTTATAACAAATAATAGCTAATCACAAATTTTATGCAATGTTTCGTTACAAAAATGAAGGTGGCGCTGTGTGTATATAAATCAATAATAATCTGATTATTCATGTACGCAGGTGCAATTATTCTACCCAGCGGACACCACTTCACGGTAGACGCAATTTCGCTTTGCACCTGCTGAAAAAAACAGGCGCTTTACCTTCGCTTCGTTTATCGTTTGTATTCTGCTTTTTTCAAAGCAATCATGGCGTGTCATAGCTGTTATAATACACTTCTTTCTTTTTCAGATTTGTGGAACCGCGAACGGGACCTTATTTCTTTTTTGCAGGACCATCTTCGAGGATCTCATCTGGACGTCCCAACCGTGTGTCGATTCGTTGCGTGCTGGCTCATGGTTCACCATTCGAAGAAGATGGAAGAGCTGCAAGTTTCGTCCAGGACCTTCGTCGACTGGAGCAGTTTCTGTCGAGAGGTATGTATGCATTATTTAACACGTCGTTCCGTTCTTTTAGGTGGAGAAGGAGTAACCGTTGAGATTGACGAAGCGAAGATCGGCAAGAGGAAGTACAACCGTGGGAGAAGAATCGAGGACCAGTGGATCTTCGGAGGGTACGAGCGAGCTCGGGCAACGTTTTCATCGTTCCAGTTCCGGATCGAACCACGGATACCTTGCTTGAGCTCATACGAGAGCACATACGACCTGGTACGTAGCAGACTAGTGCGATGCTTATTTTAACGTTTACATTTTTAGGCACCACAATCATTTCCGATTGTTGGCGCTCTTACCAGTGTTTAGGTACCGAAGGCTTCCGTCACCTCTCCGTTAACCACAGCTTGACCTTCGTGGATCCCCACACAGGCGCGCACACCCACATCGAGAGGCCGTGGAGACGTGCAAGGAGGAATTCCACGATATGGTCGCAGGGAGGCGCATATGTCAGGGTATCTTGCGGAATTACCCTACTACCTCGAATTACGAATCAGGTCTGGACCATGACACTGATCATACAGGATCAAACGGACCTAGAGCAAAATCTTTCCGAAGATATCATAACCTTACTGGGAGACGACCTACAACCTGCACGAGACAGTTGCTTTGCGTTGCTCGCACGTACTCTCTAAAGCTGGAAACATACGATCTTTCATTACGACAAACATGTCCGCGCTTATATGTTCGTCAAACATTATCAATAAACGCATGATCAAACATTTCTTTAGTGATCACAGTCAGCCCTGGACGGGGCCCTCGTGGAATCGCGAACCGGAGCCTCCGTCGCGGGGCCCCGCTAAGCGCGAACCCGAGGCTCCGCCATGTGGAGTAACGAGTCAACTGGGCTCGCTCGCTTGCTGCGGCAGCGCTCCCCCTCCTCGCTCTAAATTTTCTCATGCACTAAATGTCTTGCGTGTGCGTTTCGGTTGTTTGATAAGTATCCGGTGCTGCGTTCAACCTACACCGATTTGTACGCCTGTTACAAATACGCCCTCACTCTGCCGACAACTCAAGTATCTTGTGAACGTATATTTTCTGTTCCCAAATTTGTAAAGGATAGACTCAGAAGGTCTTTGGGTCAGTCAATTTTTGAAGCATTAATGTTTGTAAATGTTGAGCGTATTGTTAGTTTAAATTTGGAGAAGGATAAATTAATTGATAAATTTGCCAATACGTCATTGGAGCCTTCTCCTTTAATTTAATGTTCAATACTGTTCAGCAAGTTGTTTGAAATACATTTTAAAAAATCTGCAAATCCCTTGTCTTCTTTTTCGGGGGAGGGTCCATGAGTTTGGGGACCTTTTGGTCATGGAGCGCCCGGGACCCTTACCCACCCAGTCTGGCCCTGATCACAGTAGAGTTAGCAACTAACCCGTTTGGTGACGTTTAAAACGATGTCTGAAGAGTTCTGTTTGGTAGCAGTGGCGTGTTCTATTGTAGTTAAACGAGCTGTTGGTGAGTTTTTGCAGTCAAAAAATTTAGACCATTTGTTCGGCAGAAAATTTTTACTGACCATAAACCACGTTTGTAATTATTTGGTATGCATATTCCATCTAACAGTCTCACAAAATGTACTTGAATATGATTTCACAGTTTTCATTACGCGAGAGGAAAAGATAACGTTTTAGCAGACGCATTAACTGACTCGGATGAATTCAAAAATATATTCCGTTCAATAGTTATTGTCCAAGTAGGTAGCCATGAAATTTTGTTTTTATGTTTAATAAAATTAAAACTCCCTATCAGAATCAGCTGTGAAGTACAGGAATGCCTAATTTGACTATGTGAGGTTAAACGTACAATGTTGTCAGTGCTTTCACACTTTGCCACTAGACCTAAAGTTTGTATATCGGCATCATGGATACGTATCAGTCAATTGTGAATTATAATTAAGCAAATATGCCGAAAATCATAAACTCAGCTGCGAAAATGCAAATTTTAAAAGTCTACAGGCATTATAAAACAGACAGGCCAGACCTAAGGAAAGCGGAAATCTTGGCCCGGCTTAGTGACATTTGGGATGTGAGGATTTATGCATTGAACTTAACTTTCGGTCTAATTTTGGGGTTTATATCATTCTAGGTATCAGAAAAAAACCATTGAAAGAATTATCCGGCTGGATACTTTTGAATTGAAACCTTTCGGCCCAAGACCTAAAACTGATATTCTATATAAAAATTTTTCATTTCGGGAAGATTTGCATCGACTGATTTCGAATTATCACTCGAAAAATGAACACTTTCCTTTGGCCGACTTACTAAGGGACGCGCGGGAAAATTTTGATTTTGTTAAGGGGAAAACTACTTTATATAACATTCTAAAATCCATGGGTTATAAATACAAACACGTAAATGGACGTAAATTTCTCTGGGAACAAAAACATGACATTCTTGCAATACCAAAATTCAAGTGAAAATACAACATTCGTGTATCTGGGCGAAACTTGGATTTTTCAAAATGGATCCAGCGTCCGAAAATGGGTACACGATTCTGAAATTAAAAGTAATCCGTCTAATATTAAATCAGAAGGAAAGCGTTTTACTGTTTTGCATGCGGAGTCTCGTTTTGGATTTTTGGAAGGGTGTAATCTATTACAAACTTCAAATAGTAACGATAGCGATTATCACAAAACTATGAACGGGGAGATTTTTCAAAATTGGGTCCAAATCCAAAACTAAATCTGGCAACTAGGTTTTGCACATTGACAGGAAATTATCGTTTTGTATAAAATGGGCATAACCTCATGAGTGATAGCAGTCCAGAGTTGGACTGGGTCAAGCATAGAGTGACCCAGTGAGTTTACTGACCCGGTAACCCAGTGACCCAGCTTGACCCGGTGACCCAGCTTGACCCGGTGACCCAGTTTGACCCGGTGACCCAGTTTGACCCATCTTTACTCAGTGACCCGTCCTGACCCGGTGGCCCAGTAATTAAATTATTGTTAGGTATCATGCAAAACAATTTCAAGTAACTTTTAATTAAAAAAAAAAACTTCCTCAATAATATTCGGCAATAAGCACGTAGCCCAATTTCATTCAAGAGAACTAATACCTAAAAAAATCAAATGCATTTGTTTATAGTTTGTAGTCATGTAGTCAACAAAAGTATTTAGAGAAAAGATTTATTTGGATTAAGCTAACTAGTAGAAAAAAATTAAATGTGAATGAACACCTGTAAGCAAACTGGTAAGCCCTGAAGCAAAGAAATAACATTATTCTAATACAATCCGGGACATGGAAAGTTTTTTACGGCAGTATTAAAGCAAACATCACAGAAATGGCAGTTGTCAAGCAATCGAGTATTATTTTCAACAAACCAGCATTTCATTTATTTCATAAACTGTACACTTGAACCGAGGGCACTGACTTAACTGCGTTATTCGATCAAACTAGGTGACTGGGTCGAATTGGGTCCCCGGGTGAAATTGGGTCGCTTGGTCAAACTGGGTCTAACTGAAAAGAGTATGAAGTGACCCAGCGACCCAGTTTAATTTAGTGACCCAGTTGACCCAGTCCAACTCTGGATAGCACATATACACAGTGAATTTCATCACCTTAACATGGCCTACTACTGGGACAATAACTATTGAACGGAGTATATCTCCGACAGTTTGGCGAAACGCTGCCCAGGAACAATCGTGCACTCCCGATGGTTAACTACGGGCAACAGAATTATCTTTTTTCTCCTCGACCTTCATCCATTTTAATTATTTTAGTACAATTTATATGCCGCGATGTGCAAGTATTCTTAAATATGGAAGTTCAATTATTCAGTATCTTGTAAAGCTGAAATTCCAATATTAAGGGTTCCTTGTTGTATTAAATAATAGTTCGCAGACCAGAAATGTACCCAAACTGTGACATTTCCAACATCAGTGCACAATGTAGAGTGACATAAATTGAACTGGAATCTCACTGGTTCATAATATTTGATTGTAGGTAATCACTTTAATTACACCACTTTGAAGACCAATGTAATTGTGTAATGTACAAGCTGACGAAGACGGGCAGACAAAAAAGATGCTATGGTGCATTATAAAAACATAAACGTACAAAGAAGTCTCACGTGTATATTGCAATAAACCTAAAATGTATTCCCAAGTCTGTTTGTGTGGGCAAGAAATCGTTTCACGCGTTATGTAAACAAACGAAGAGTTCGATTTACCTTTTTGGCGCCAATAAACCGACCAACTATTGTAGTTTGCCGTCGCATTTCTGTTTGATGAATGTGGCTGATGTTTTGATGTTCTCCCAAACAACTTTTTCGGTTGCTCTATGATCTTTATGTAAACTGTAACTGTGAAATCGGGTAAGTTTTCTTTTTACTATAAGGAGCTAGAAATACACAAAGCCATAAAATAATGGATGTGTAATTTAAATCGTTTTCAAAGTCTGCCATTGCGGTTTCGTGTTCGTATAATGCATTGCATATAATATCATATCTATAGTTTTGCAAACACCTGTAATTATCGACGCGGTGGAACACTGTGAAAAGTACAAAAAGAAAACAGATTGAGACTATTATTATTAGTTGAAAACCCAATGCCTTTATGAAAGGTTCATTTCTACGCTTTCCTACAAAATTGTGTAATTTATTTCAATTCGTTGGTATTTTCGTCTAGCTAGTGCTATAAATCGCGAGCAGTTTGCACAATACAGATAAGAGATAACAAGTTCCCTAAAAGTAGTTCAAAACCGCAGTAGATTCGGATGGACTGACAAAACGCAGAGAATAAAACTTTTTTAATATCGCAAATTTGGAGTAAATCGGCAATGCTACGACTACAACATTTTTTAAGCTCACAGTTGTCATTCTTTGAAGTACATATGAATTTATATGGAGTTATTTTGGACAAACGAAAAGATCACTGAAAATTCGATTTAAAGAGCATACGGTTCACTAATATAGGTACAATCGCTAGAACTAGAATAAATCTAGAGTTGCCGCACATATAAGGTGTCCCAACGAAAATTTGAAAACTACGACAAAGATTTATCGCCGAATAACTCAAGAGATTGAAAATTTTAAGTTCGGGGTTTGAATCAAGATTGCCTGTATGCAGATTAGTGGACATCCGCTTCGAGCAATAGGAACATTAGTTTGATTAAACCATTTTGATCTTTTGCCGTATATTTGTGGAGTCGACCAGCTCTGCTGAACACTACAAGCGTTTTAAGTTGGGCGCTTCGTTGCGAAAGTGTCGTGCCGACAGTATTTGCGTTGGCTCTAGGAGTTGAAGAAGCTAAAGGTAATGGATTACATTTGTAGTTGTGTTTCAGCTGCCGCTACCGTTATTGAAGCTGCAATTAATCCGCAGTGCGCCTCCGTTCCCGTCAAGATATTCCATTTTTCTTTGTTACGTCCGAAAACTCTTCTCATTTAGAGGACGAGTGAAAATTAATACGTATTTTAGAATTTTCAGTCACGTTAAGCCATTATTAATGATCCTCAGATCCTTTATAGTTTTGTCTAGTTGCCCGTCCCTTTGTCCGGTCGTTCGTCCTTGTGCGCTATAACTCTTTAAAAGTGGCCGATCGTGTTGAAATTTGGCGACGAGTAGTTTGGACATTAAGATAGGACGCTATAGGACTTCCGAGTGAATCGCGAACAGGAAAAACTGTTAGCTCAATATACTAGAAATCAACATATTTCATTCCCTAACTCACATATCAAGTTTGGACTTTCGCTAGGTTGCACGTTAAAAATTGACGTAGCGGTA